CCATGTCTCGTCTTTGAATGCCACTGGCAGTGCTGGTATCGCCTTCAGCCCTTGGAGTATAAGCTTCTTCTGAGGACCAGTTGCTAGTGGCCCGGGTCTCTTTGTAGCCCACATGCTGCAGTACGATTGTGTCGAGAAATGCGTGTCAAATAATTGGAACAAGAGGGAAAAAATGTATCTGTGACGGAATCCAAAAGACGGCTCGTCATAAAAGTGGCACATCTCGGCTAACTCCCATCAGTCGCGGCTCGGAATGCTGAGCCGACGCCCCCTGTTCGAAACACCACCACCACATTCCTTGCTGTCATACCTGCTGCCGACCATTGGCGCTGATAGTTCTATCCATAGCCTGTATACTGTTCCAAGTGACCATGCGCTCGAATATATATGTGGAATTGCTCCAGCCTGCTTCTGGCTGTATTGGCATACTCATCAGTAACAGCCAATTCTGTAGTGGCACGGATATCGGCCTGTCAGCTGTCTGATCCCAGAAATAGTAACCTGCTTCAGGAGGATTCATAGATATTCAATTAATGCAAAGATACTTCAGAGCCGGCAGGTAGCCTAATAAATGAACAATACGACATGTAGGCGCAGTATCAGTGGCGAACTAGACACATCAGATTGAACCAACAGATACATGTCGGAAATCTAACAATCACATTCAGAACAGCTTTACGAACCAGTGTGTAGTCTTGGACTATTGTCCTCAGCATAAACGACGTGTAGTGCAGGACCCCTGTCTGCTAGCGCTTTATCCAAACAGCTGTTCCGTACGGTGTATATTAGGTGTATATAAAAGTAATCAAAAAGTGAGGTGTCTAGACTATGGATGCGGGCTCAGAGGTTGAAGTATGAGTAAACGCCTTTAATGTTCTCAACAGAGCTGTACAGCAACATCTTTTGGAGGAGTAGATGTCACCATATAAGCCTCACTCTTAGTTTCTTTCATTCGTGCCGGTCAGTCGTGAAGGCAAGACACATGGATCTATAAATGGAACAGGTTGGAAGCAGACCGATTCATAGAGAAACATAAATTAGCAACTAGTGAATATATGAAATGGGGATAAAAGTTATCTAATGACATTGTCTGGCTCCTTGAGTAGTTGGTACTGCACCGCGCGCAAAAACAGGTACTCCTCCCATGCGACCTTCTCCTGCTCCTTAGACAGCAGCTCAATATGCAGACGCTTACGCCGCCACCCGTGCCTCAGAGGAATTGTACTCTGCACTGTACGGTTCATTGATACTGAGTCTGCTATTGATGAAGTATCATCGACGTGGTTGCCACGCACCCACAAAACACGCAGCACACGGCCAAAGATGCGGATACGCAGGATCTGGTTAGGTAATGCCGGGAATAGGCGGTCCCGGATTGACGACCGCACAAACAAGCAGCATATGAACCCGGCTATTACCAGTGCCATCATCCAGGCGAAATTCACGTTGTACGGCCTTATATCGTACGGCTTGTAGCCCTCCGACAAGTAGTAGTTGACAATACCTGTGAATGTCAGGCCGCCGCCAACCGACGCAATTGACCAGGCAGTCAGGAACACGCCGTGGCAGCTGCTTGTGTTGCTGGAGCCAAACATATCGGACAGAAATGCTGGAATCATGCCAAACCCGCCGCCGTAGCAAATTGTGGCGATCCAAATTAATATTAGGAACAGCCAGAAGTGGTCGCCGGAGATGGTGATTGGGATGCACACAAGTGCGACAATTTGTACAGTGAGCAGAATGAGGAATGTCGTCTTGCGGCCGATAAAATCGGAAGTAAAGCCAACCAAGATACGGCCAGTCATGTTGAAGGCGCCCTCAATCGATACGGCTATGTGTGCTTCCAGAGGCGGATCATGCGGTGTTTTGCTTTCGCGTCCAAACAGGCGGTTGATTAGCGCTGGCAGGTTCGACAGAACCACTAGGCAGAAGACGATGTTGGCCAGAAATGCCACGTACAAGAGCCAGAAATCGCGCGATTTTAGGGCCTCGCCCAAGGATATATGGATTGTTGGGCGCTCGCTACCAAGAACATTCATGTACCGTGGCTGCTGGTTTATAACTTTTGCTGTCAGCGATCCATCGGGAATATCGTTCTTGGCTGACCGGCCAAGCGTGAGATGGACATTGCTATTTGTTTCGATGACTGGGATGCCGTCGATGTTGTGGCCAGGCGGTGGCGGGCAGATGAATTGGATGCAGACGAACATGACCGAGATATTAATCGCACCAAGGATTAAGAAGGCCGACGAAAGACTGAATGAATCAATGAGCCGCTTGTTGATGAAACTGAAGGCAAGAGACCCGCCACCGAACCCCATCACAGCGCACCCAGCCGCCGTGCCACGCGCCTTTGGCCACCATTTGCTGACGGCATCGATGGTCGATACATATCCGATTCCGAGTCCGATGCCAGCAATAAAGCCGTATCCAAAGTATAGCATGGAGAACATCTTCACTTGGATGGCCAATGCGGTCGTTATGTGCCCAGCAAAAAACATCACCATGCCAATGATGCCCGATTTCTGAGGATGGCTCGATTCAATCCAGGGCCCGAATATCGCGCCTGTGACGCCCAATATACCGAGCGCAATGTAAAACGTTACCTCTGCGCGTCCTCTGTCAGGATTGTCTGCCAAGCTTTGGTTAATGGGGCCGTTGAAAATCGACCATGCGTAGACGGAACCGTAGCAGAACTGGATCAGAATGCCAGCAGGAATGGCCATCCAAGGCTGGCACCGCAGGAGCCCGAAAAACACCCACCGGTTGCGCTCGATCTGGGCTGGACTTGGTTTGTATTCAGTGTGGCTGTAATAATCCAGAACCGCGTTGTATATGCTTTTTGTTTTTGGCAGCTCGTTATGAAGCGACACCCGACTGAACAGAAGACTGTCGTGTGCAATGGCATCGCTGATATTTGGGTGTGGCATCTGAGATGTGAAAATGTGTGCGAAATCTGGGGGCGTGGCTATCTAGCCTTCCTTGCTGGTAAACAGGATAGATAGACCTTGTATGAAAATGTATTTCCGCGGAATGTGGCGAGATGCGACTAGAAAATATGTAGTATTGGTATAAACCGAAAAAGTTGAGCAGAACGGCTGGGAAGGGGCATGCGCGCTTCTAAATACCTCAGTATGTGTGTCAGATATTCTCCTTGGGGCCCTCGAGCAGGCTTGCTAGCAAGGGAAAACATTGCCTTGTATTGTGCGCTATACAATGAATTCAATATAACAAAACCCAGTGGTGAGCCCACCAGGCACAATATTGAACTAATGCCCAGATAGTCCACGAATTCCAATTTAGGGACTTGTTCGTCCAAAGCCACTGCCCCAGGACATTCATGAAGCAAGGAATTTCTGGAACACAACTGACCTCTACCCACGTCCCTTCTCAGCTAGAATTCAGGTCGCCACAGCATCGATTTGGACACGTATTGACAAGGGAATAATCGAGCATTTTGCCATGTATACATCCATTCATCCATCAAAGGGTGGCACTGCAAAAACAACTGGCATGAACATGAGATACTGGCATCGGCATTGCTGTGATCCGGCGAAGAAATATATGGGCGTTTCTACAAAAAATTACAACAGAGCACAGGCCACAGCGTAGGTCGATGTAGGAGTCACACACGCTTGAGTGCATGTCTGCCGTCCATGGAGGGCAGTCACTTTGGCTTATTTCTACCAGAGCACCTAAATTTTTGTCAGACCTATCTCTCGCAAGGACATGCTGAAGCCGGAAGTCATATGTCCGTCTTTGCAAAGGTATCAGTTCTGGTGTTCAGGGTATGTACCATGAAGTCAACTACGACTCTGACTATTCGCTGATTCATTCTAGCAAGGATATTGTAGAAGAGTTGGTGTATCGCATAACAACAACACACTTCAGTGATAGAATTAGGAAGGATACCATAGGAGAATTGGATCTACTGTTTGGCCAAACGTATCCGAAACTCACCAAGCTATCTATTGTTACGAGTATGGATATGGAAGGGAAGGTTGAGAGACAACAGGTTGACACGTTTCCATCGATGGCCAGCCTCACCGTCCTTACCTACTGTGCATTTGACATTGGGAGTTTTGTCGGCGATTGCAATGAGACGCTAACATCTCTTGCGGTTCATCTCACTAGACCTCTGTTCGAATCTCTTCGGGGTTGCCTGCTTCCTAACCTTGCTTGTGCGCGCATTTGAGGAGCAACCTTCGAAATTGAGCAAATAGAGGACAACGATGCAGTTGAAGCAAAATAACTATTGTTTTTGATTGCACCCAATGCTGAGCATATCGAGCATCATGTCGATACGAGTCGGCTGAGTAGCTCCTTGTCATCCATTCATTCTGCCCAGTCACTCAAACCTGCAGTTTCGTTGTCTGGATAATAGTAGATTTTCACCTTCTCTCAGCCAACTGGGCCAGATTCTATCCTACTTCCCTGGACCCACTCGTCTTGGTGTGGCAAGTATCACATCTGGCAAGCAATCTGCGCGTAATGGAATAGGCAAGGAGATTGGTGCCTTACTGTCTGAGCCCCCAACCTTCAGTGCTCGTCTGAGACGGCTTGACTTTGCGAAGTCGGTGACTATTGTCACAGATATGGCTATTGCTATTACAAAGCCACCCTCTCTGATTACAGTTGATATGAAAAACTCGCGCAGAACGCTGATTCGGTATAAGGATTGGATCAAGAAGCATATATACGACGAGTATCACGACAGCTTGAGCAAACCGCTGCTCTGTGAGCGATACAAATATCTGGTGCAACTCCAAGTTCAGATAGCAACAAAGCCTTTATATGCTTCAATACTGCAAGTCAAGCCCAACCTCATTCAATCGTAGACTACTACATAACTGGCTTTTTGTATGCAGCCAGACAGGCTCTATACATTGCTGCCAGCTACCACGCTGCGCTTCCATTCCCACAATAGAGTTGAAGTTTGGAAGAAGTACACCTTAGAGCCATGGTCGGTGGAAGCTGCTGGTCCATTTTCACCCTCAAATCAACACCACTGCACCCAGCTATGCTTCGTTCTGCATTCGACAACATCCCAGAGTCAATCATCGACCAAATTATTGGCGAAATAGTGGATACTATGTGCTTTCGCGTTGGCCAGGAGCTGTTTGATATTGGCCCGATACGCATATACTCAGAGATTTCCAGCCATGAACCAGACGTGGAGCAGAATCATTGATATGAAGAAGAGTTCGTTCGCGTCAGTAGAATTTACTGTAGGCAGAAGCCTTGGCCCGACTATTCCTGCTACATGGCTTCAGTACAAGTTGGAAGATGTCATTGCCAAAAGGCATCACGGTCTACTGACGTCGGTACGGATAGACATTGGTTTTTCCAGCCAGGCTCTTGTAAACAACATCGAAACCTTTGCCGAATGCTTCATGGCCATGTGTTCCCATCTGTGCACAGCATCTCATTGTGCATCCGCATTGATGCAGCTAGGCGGCCCGATTCCAAGAATAGTGCTTCTGAGGCGATTACCAGAGCAAATATTGAGAGGCTATCCTCATCGCTTAATGCAGCCCTGTCAATGTCATTTCCAAAGGTGCGCTACCTGCAAACGGACCTGACGGATACCTCAAAAACCCCTAGGAACATATTCTTATCAGGGATCGTTGATGCATATTCGCATACGCTTAGACGGCTGTCGCTCTTTGACCAGGTCACCAAGGCTATGGCTCGCAGGCTAGAATCCATACCCTTGCAATTTATCGAAATCAGCGCGGATTCTTTTGGAGGTAAAGAAGTCGAGCTAGTTCGTCGCAGCTCACAGACCCTCCAGATTTTGCGTAGACAGTCCGGCTATATGGGCATCCCAAAGCAGATCCTCACCAGCGATGCCGGGATCCCAATAATCTATCCTAACCTGCACCGGCTTGAAGTTGACACTCTACCTGATCTCGACGATATTGGCGGCCCTGTCTCCGCTTACAAATGCACAGTGCATCATTTTCCGCGGCTGAAGTACTTTCAGTCAAGCAATGGAATCGCACCAGAGATAGCCACCGCGGCTCTAGCTGCAGTAGACACCCTCCGCTACCTCTCGTTTGAGCATGACGATGAATGCTATCGACATCTAAGGGATCGTATTTCGACGCCGCAAGGGCTATTCTCAGCGCTCCAGCACGTGACGCTAAGTCTTGCTGGAGCTTTTCACACTCGCGACGATGCAGTTGGGCACCTCAGCACCTTTTCTCTGCATTGGAACTCAGGCCCAGTATTTCTCGTACGACATCGACCACATTGTTTGCGAGGGAGCGCTTTCAGCGCTTTCGCTCAACCTGCCCGACCTCCGTATCCTGAAGGCAAGTCGTCTGGAGATGGGCATTGCAGATTTGCTCTACTTGGTCAACCAATTACCGGCGCTGTACCATTTGACTCTGCCGTATAGCATGGACAGAATCCTTAGTCGCTGCCCCGACGAACTCACGGACGAGAGGATCTCGGGCATCCGCGAGGAGTTGCCTGCTATACAAGCGTCTCGGCTTCAAAAGCTTACTCTGACGGATACCTGCGGCATTGACAATAATCACCATAGGGTGCTTAGGACAAACTGTCTACTAGCCATCGCATTCACAAAACTTCCTCTGTTGGCCACAGTCATAATGGAAGTCCATCGTAGGTCAGAATTCCCTGAGACAGCGCTGAGCCTTGACTGCTTCGTCCATCGCCCAATATTCGACGACAGCTCGCATATCCGCCAGATTGAATATATTGGGTTTTGAGCAGAAATGCGGGTAGACCAAATACATTCTGTTCATCTTGTAACGGAGTCGAGCCAACAGCGGCAAGCCCCGACGGTTGGGAGGGGCAGCAAGCCAACGGCCAGGCTCAAACATGCAACCCACTAGCCTTTTGGTATCAACTGAAAGCTCGGATGAGGATCTGTCTCCTCTGACGAGAGACGGACGCTTATAGCGGCCTCTCAAGTCTTTTCACCCTTTCGTTTCTCCTGTGGTCATGTACTATATCCTTTCCTCACAGCTAGTTTCTGAGGTGTTACTTTTCGCCAGACCTGGGCGCCGACACCAACAAACCAAAGAAACGTAACAGAGAGTAAAGCTTTTGGATGGGAGGTTCCACTTAAAGAGAACGCAATGAGAAGGAGAAAGGCAGCGAGCCTTGAGAATTGGCATATATATATCCATCATAGCACGAACGTCTTCGATTTTATGTTTGGTTGGGACATCGCGTTTGTGAGGAAATGCCATTGTCTCCCTCAGAACTCAGAGTCCATGGCTGTCATTGTTTGCAGTGGGGTCAGAGCGTCCATCGCCACGCACTTGCCGGGGCGGGCATCGCCGCTAACAATGGTGCCGATGCCCATGGTCTAGGGCCAGCACGCAACACAGCGTGATCGAATCCTGGATGGCAATTAATCGGAAATTAGCCTGGCTGATTCTGAGGTCCGCTGTGTTGCTGCAAACTGATCTCTCCTACCGTTTCCCTGCGTTTAAAACAACTCTCGCTCGTTTGAACAGCTCATTCTCTTCTACACATTATAATTTGCAATGAAACGGCTGCTCATTCTGCTCCCACTCATTCTGGTAGAGCTGGTGGGATTAGGGTTCTTTATCAAGGGCTTCTTTCCTTACAAGAAAAGCATACCTGGCTTTGCAACATGGGCAGAACAGCCAGCAGACCTCGGGCAGCTGGGCAGCCATGTAGACGCACAGTACGATCGGCTGGTGGTGATGCTAGTAGACGCGCTGCGCAATGACTTTGTGTTTGGCAACAACTCTGGCATGGCGTACACGCAAAGCCTGCTGCGTGATGGGCGCGCGCTTGGATACACAGCCAAGGCGTTGGCGCCAACAGTGACGATGCCGCGGATCAAGGCGCTGATGACCGGTACAGTGCCAAACTTTTTGGATGCTGTGCTCAATACTGCCGAGTCCGACACGAGCTCGTCGCTCAAATTCCACGACAACCTGCTGTGGCAGCTAAAGAACCATGGAAACAAGACGATCAACCTGTTCGGTGATGACACCTGGCTGCGCTTGTTCCCCGACACATTCTCGCGCACGGATGGTACGTCATCATTCTTTGTCACTGACACAGTCGAAGTAGACCTGAATGTGACACGGCATGTCAAGCCAGACCTGGAGAAGGATGACTGGGATGTGACTGTTTTCCACTACTTGGGACTCGACCATATCGGGCACCTGGCGGGACCTAATAGCCCGCTGATGAAGCCTAAGCAACAGGAGATGGACCAGGTCGTGAAGCAGGTGAACGAGATCATCCTGCGTCAGGACGCTGAGCGAATGGCCAAGGACAAGGCGGCCAAGCCGACGCTATTTGTGCTGCTCGGCGACCACGCAATGAACGAGATCGGCAACCATGGCGGCAACTCGAAGCTGGAGACGTCGACTGTGTTTGTGTTCATGGGACAGGGCATAAAGGGACAAGAGTTTGCTGACAAGGGCAAGAATGCGCTGTCCAGTCTGCTGACTAAGGAGGTGCCGCAGATTGACCTGGTGCCGACTCTGTCGCTGCTGTTTGGCGTGCCCATTCCCAAAAACAACCTGGGCCTTCCGCTGATCGATATGCTTGGCAAGTACTCGGATGGAGAACTGTTGAGGTTTCTTCAGCTCTCGGCGTTCCAGATGTTTGGTGTGGTGCGAGCCAACGATCCGTCCGGTAGAATGTCGACATGCAAATGGCAGCTTTTGACTTCGATCCATCGACTGACTGCGACAGCATGCATGCTAGCAACGTTGGCGACAGCTTGCGGTGCAAATACATGCAGGCGCTGGCAGCCCACCACAGGGCTGGTAAGGTGGGGCGAGGGTGAGGATGCCAGGGCAGCTGAGCGCAAGTACTACCAGTTCATGGAGCACGCCAATGAGCACCTTTCGCGGACATTCAGCGGGTATGATCTCGGCGCAATGGGCACAGGCATCTTCTTTATCGGATTGCCGCGGCCGGGCTATTCCTTCTGTCTTGGCCTTCCCTGGGCGGGGTCA